GATGGCTCTGCTAAAACACTCTGGTCCTGAGATGTGAACTCTGCTGCTGGTGGGCACATCTCTGTCATGGCCTTCTCGGTGAGCTCTGTTCCGATCGACCAAACCTTGAACGATAATGGATCTCGCATCAAAGCCTGGTTCTCTGGGGTCGACTGGAACCCTTCGCCCAACATTGTGCTGACGTTTGTCATCTTGCTGCCGAGGGGCATACGACCCACCCCTTGGGGGAGGAGTGGGCATTCGACGTCGATCATCACGATCGAATCGGTCGTCATACTGATCACGCCGACCTCCACGTCCCTCACGCCTCAGGGGCGGTCTTGGGCTATGAGCCGACTGGACTGTATTTGCAGTGATGGGTTTGCTATGAATCCTATTTTGCGACTGTGATACAGCTGAATTTTGATCCCCTGCTGCCCGGAGTAAATCTTTGATCTGCATCAAGTCTCTGCCAGCCTCTGACTGAGAGGGTTGGATCGATTCTGCTATACGGGCTGCAGCCGCTAGATTCTGAATCGGGGTTCGATATACCTGAGTCGGTGGTGGAAAGAGTTGACATCGACTAGAGTCTGGGACCCGTTGTTATGCACGCTCGTCGAGTGCTCGCTGGAGGTTCTCCAGTCGAGTGCGCTCAGCCAAGTTGGCCAAACGCGCGTCCTCTAAGGCACGAGCCTCGGGGGCTTCTCCAACGATAGGAGTATGCAGCGCATCCATGTTCCGGCAGCGAAGATCTTCCCTTTGCAGCGAAGTGAGTGGCCCGGGTTGATACTCTTCGTGGACCTGCGCTGGGTCGCCTCCGCCGTCGCCTCCGTCGGTGCGGGGGAAGCCGGGAGGACTGCACGGTCCATTGACCATCAGGACCTCCACCGCTGGATCACTGCTGTCGCACTCGGATGCAGTCTCTACGGAGCCAGTCGACAGGTCGAACAGGCCGTAGAGAGATTCGTCCGGCTCGATCGCCGCGACTTGGGGGGTGGCCGACTGGCGGACCACCGCGTGCCTCACCCAACGCTGAAGCCTCGACCGACCGGAGCGCTTGCGCTGGCGGGAGACATGGAGAGAGGATGACACAGGGACCGACCGATACTGAGTCGACGGTTGCCGTAGGAGGACGCCGCGGACACACGCGCGAAAGTGTGTCGCCCCGCGGACGGGGAGCGTGTCGATGTCGAGTGGAGCCTCCTGAAGCCAAGCGGAGTCGTCGGCGATGAACGTGAGCGCGCCGAGACGGATCTCGCGGCCCTCAACCAAAACTCCGCCAGAAACCATGATGAAGGTGATCGGAACAATCGCAGCTTCTCCAATAAGTCGCTAAGACACCCGCCCCACGGTGGGCGCCAACTGTCGTGATTCTAAGTCTGACAGTAGAATAGGGGGGTAGGTATGGAGAGGCAAGATCCTAGCTATGGAGTAGTTGTATACGCAAGGGATTTACGAGTTCAGGCCCTTCTCAGAGGAAGTAACAGCCCTACGTCTCAGAGCCCGGAGGCGGTCGACTGGATTATATGCGTATGAGTTACAGGGGTGCGAAACCCTTTACACTGAGGAGGGGGTGGCTTATATAGAGTTCGCCAGACCCCTCCAGCCCTCAGTTATGCAGGGTTTAAAGTACATTAAGACCGGGGGTTACTGGTAACGCCCCACATAAAATGCTATGATGACCATAAAGGCTACTCAATGGCAGACCGTTGCGTGCAGAGTGACTTTAGGTCTCCTCACTGTCGAGTGGATGGCTTCATGGTCGAGTGGTTGGCTTCACGGTCGAGTGTCTTCGAGTCTGTCGAGTGGAACACTTCTGAGTCGATTGACAGGTGATTTCTTCTAGAGATGTCCTTGGGTACGGTAGTTTGGACAGGTCCATGACCCTAGGTACATAGCTTCATCACCACCTAGTATAACTGATGTAATCTTGAAAGGTTGTACTCTGGGTACAAGTAATATACTCTCTCTGTTCCTAAATATAAGTTTTTTTAGAGATTTCAAATGAACTACCAGATACGAATGTATATAGATATATTATAGAGTGTAGATTCATTCATTTTGCTTCGATGTAGTCACTTGTCAAAATTTTTAGAAAGACCTATATTTAGGAACGGATGGGAGTATAAAACTCTCTTTTCCCTAAAAAAGAACCACGTTAAATCGCACGAGGTTTACTCCTTTGGGCTCAATTTGCTTTTCAAAATCAAAGCGAAGCAACAACCCGAGGCTTTTTCTTCAACCCCCTGATTGTACCCCAGCGGCCCGGACGGTAGACCCCGCCTGGCAGTCTCAGCACTCTGCTTCCCCTCCATCCCTCTCCCTACCCCGAACTATCTCATCGCCCCAAACCCCTACCTCTCCTCGCCTCCCCACCCCGACCGGAAATGATGAAGTCCCTCTTCCTCTTCTCCGCGCACCCCGCACCGCCCCTCC